TTTACTGGCAGAAGGTAAAAAGTGCCTCAAGCTGGCAACCAGACGCGGCACCGCCAGCCCAAGCGCGAAGCCGCACAGACAAGCAGCGTTTTATCCCTCCTGCAATGGATTTACTGGCAGAAGGTAAAAAGTGCCTCAAGCAAAACAAAGCAGGAACAAGCTAAACCTCCTGGCACACAGCGCACAGCGAGAAGCTGCACAATCACACACAAAACACAAGCCCGAAAAGCCAGCAGTGCTGGCACCCAGACTCCTCGGACTTTGTCGAGTCGCCCGAAGAGGAGTCTTCGCCGGAGGTCTCCGACTCCGATGGGGGAAACACGTCGAGTGGCGCCGACGATCGGCGGCGCGGAGCTGGCGAGGCGTCTCCGTCCCTCACTGTGACGTCGGGTGCCTCCGGAGAGCTCGACACCACTGGGGTGCTTGCTGCTGGTCCGAGCTCGCCTGCTTCCTCCCCGGCATCGGTCGGGTCACGCCGGTCCTTGGGCATTGCCGCTCACGGGCGGCTACCGCTGACTCGGCTACCGCTGACTCGGAGGCTAGCGAGGAGGACTACCTCGAGCGGTACCGTGTTCCTGTGTCCAGCCTCCCTCCGTCCGCTGCCCCAGGCGGACCCCCGGGCAACGCCGGCTCCTTGTCGGCGGCTGCCCTTTCTCCGTTTACCTTCTGCCAGTGAATCCGTAGCCTCCGTCCGCGCCGGGCCGCCCGCTTTGTGGCGGCAGCGGACGTCTCGACTGACAGTGGTCAGTCGGCTGCCTCCGGGTATCGCGTCTAAGGGATTTGATTCCTCCTGCATGCTCCTGCTTACCGCTGACTCGGAGGCTAGCGAGGAGGACTACCTCGAGCGGTACCGTGCTCCTGTGTCCAGCCTCCCTCCGTCCGCTGCCTCAGGCGGACCCCCGGGCAACGCCGGCTCCTCAGTGTCGGCGACTGCCCTTGCTCCGTCCGCGGCCGCCCGCTTCTACGGATTTACTGGCAGAAGGTAAAAAGTGCCTCAAGCAAAACAGAGCAGGAACAAGCTAAACCTCCAGGCACACAGCGCACAGCGAGAAGCTGATGGATTTACTGGCAGAAGGTAAAAAGTGCCTCAAGCAAACAAAGCAGGAACAAGCTAAACCTCGAGGGACGGAGACGCCTCGCCAGCTCCGCGCCGGTCGCCTCGCCAGCTCCGCGCCGGTCGTCGGTGCCACTCGAAGTGTTTCCGAGTCCCCCATCGGAGTCGGAGACCTCCGGCGAAGACTCCTCCTCGGGCGACTCGACAAAGTCCCGGAGATGATGTGCTCCTGCTGCTTGTTGCTTGATTGTTTGACCCTTCGGCTGCTTGTCTGCGCGGCTTCGCGCTTGGGCTGGCATTCCATGGCATTTAATAATGCCCAATTATAAATTAATATCCTTTTAACAAACACTTGTACCTGTTAATTTGATCATAAGCATACAGTTTTTAGTCAATTTTGTACCAGAATGATTTGTACCACTCAGTACTCTTTTATATTCGTTTTAAGCATTTGAGTTCCGGCTTTACACGCCTCTTAGCTGCTCTCTACCCTGTGTACCGGTATGTTTATCTGATATGGAGGGGGTAGGGTTATTCGTATATTTCGATACACGCTCATGAAATCTTATCATAGTGTCAGCCATTGACGAGTGTAGTAAATCCAGCCAATAAGTATTTTTGTTTTCAAATCAAGGAGTCGTATGCCAGCTAGCAACGGCAATCTTTTTTTTCTACACCGGTTGTTTTATATAGATACCTACCCTATGTCTATAGGGTGCCACCGAAACACAGGTCCCTTTGCCCCCGATCAAAGAGCAAATAATTTTCATTAAAAATCCTGAGATCTCCATTGCAAGTATCCCTCCCCTCCTCCTTCCATGCTCTTCTCCCTCCCTCCCTCGGGATATGCTCGCCTTACTTACGGCGAGGAGCAGGGGTGGAGAAGGGTAAATGAGGGACAGGGTTTGAACTTGTAGGCGGCGCGCGGGTTCGGGGTGATGGGTGCAGAGGCGAGTCATGGGGAGAGCTAATGAGA